ATAAAGAAATGCACCGTGTATATATACATAAACACACACGCAAGAAATCATCCATTATCAGACGTCTCAGTCCAAGATTCAGACAAGGTGAACTGCAAAATGAGCAGCGTCTGCCGTACTGACTCTTCCGCTAGCCCATAATACTTTAGGCACATTTCCCCATGTTTTACCCCTAATGCAGGAAAATAACAGTTAATATGCCAGAACTATAGCATGCTTCTACCTTCCTCTTTGACGTGACAACACAGCTCTGAAGTCCAAAGTGCCTGGTGTCAGCCCTGCCTACTTATTTTCTGATGGATTGCAAAGATCATAGACCTTGCCTCAGCTCCCCCTTACTCTCCATAACCCCACCTCCTCTCCATCACCCCCTCATCCTTCTTTCCATAACCCCTCCCCCACTCTATAACCCCTCCTTTACATAACTCCTCCTCCTGCCCTTTTCATCATCCCTCCTCTCCATAACCCCTCTCCCCATAAAAAAATATGCAACATCTCCAGAAGATGAAGGCTTTGAAAGGTATGGATGCAATCTACAAGGAACATGTATAATCTACTATTGGAAAGGGGAAGCTGCTTCGCTGAGTTTAATGTCATTTCACAAGTCATTTCCAGTTAAAGGGTGACAACTCTCCGTTCCAATCTCTTATTTGTGCTCCTGCGTTGTCACCCAGTCATGTGGGCTTAGGCTACAGACTTCAAGTGCCCATTTAAAACACACAATACAGAAGTATGATATTTTAAATCATGGTAATTGTTTGCAATAAAAAATGCTTAGGGAAACTTGTCATGTCATTGAGTTAGAATTTACACCTACTTTAACCTACGCAGGCTTGCAGGATAGAGCTCCTACACAAACATGCATTCTCCAAGCAGGCAGCGCTCTCAGCGGGCGTTGGGTCCGGTAACCCAACGCTGCAAATTCAGCATGTTTACAATGGAGCCACCATACAGCTCTTACATATGTGCGCTGTGTACAGAGACTTGATATCATACAGTGCTCCTTGAACATGATTCATGTATAGGGCCGGTGTTACTGTCCAGCACTGCGGGATCATTATCAGTGTACAGAGATGCTGATGAATTATACGGCCAGCGCCATCATTATTCATAAACAAAGACTTATTATGGAGTGTATGTGTGCATTTGGAGGGGGTCTGGGTAATTATCGGAGCGGGGGGACTGTGCCGATCATCGTACCCGCGCGTCTGTACCGGAGGGGTAATTATTCATGTACACAGACTCCATGTCATTATATAGTGAAGTCTGATCATTATACATGTATATATAATCAGTGTTATTTCTACTGCTACACGGTGCACAGTAATGATGACTATACACTACCGCGTGATGATTATCTGGGAGCAGATTCCCGAAATTATTCAAAGGAAAATTCCATCTTTTTAAAAATAAATGCACGCTTCTTTATAAAAGATCAAATGTGCATTTATTTTTTGCATTGGAGCCAGTAAAGCATTGCAACCATGATCAGTGGATGGCGGGTGGAATTCCCTGGTTCCTGCAGACCCACCCCCCCACCCCCCGACCCCCTCGTG